AGAAGAGAGACAATGATCTTTTTATTCATCTAATCAGTCAGTACCCAACGCACATGTACTAGGAATGACGCCACACATATACCAAAGATATGGAAACGTTTACTACCAATAGAAAAAAAGAGATTGAGTTGACAGAAATTTAAAAATCATATTTCGAATGGAGTATGCTTGAAACGGTATCATCATGTAAATAATACTGTTTCTCTATGCCCCATATATCTCAAATAAACAAATCCAATATGGAATTAAAATCTACCACAGTGACCAAGTTTTACACTGAATTTATTTATTATTCTTATTGAGCATATGGAGAAAGCTGAATTTTCCCTAGAATAACGATAATGTTGAGTTGTATCCCTCTGAATTCAGATAATCTTATGTAAGCAGACAGTATAACTCATCCAACTGGCTGGTTTGACCCCCATACTTGATACAGTCAGTGAATCTGTTGTTTATTGTTTTAGCAAGTTGGATTTAAGCTAATAGGTCACTGATTCCAGTCCCGTCCCTGCAACCTAGGTTTTATTGGCCTGGTGGTGTTGATACATAGAGACAAAAAGGCAGCCAATACGGGAATTGTTTTCAAGTCATGATCAAATCATGTTCAGATCATGATTTATGCATACGCTGACATGAGAACTTGATTGGACAAATTCGACCTCATACAAGAAATCTGATTGGTCCATTTATGGCTTCACTTTCTTAGAGTTTTGTTAATACATATATGTCACGTATTTGCGTAATAAAAGTTGTCGCTGTACTTTCAGTCACAGGCTGTCTTTTGTCTTCTGATTTTACGCGGCACAGTGAAGCAGAAGGTACTGATGGAGATCAGTCGTAAAGGTATTCGGTTGAGGTGTCTATTGAGTCTCAGTATCATAATACCCATGCATGCAACCACCAATCGGTCACAACAGGTATCATAACATCCCACAAACCAACTGTACCTCACTGCTTACTGGATAAATATACACATGTTTGATGAGGGCATTTGATCAGTGCAATCTTTGAGCTCACAAAATGTATCCTTCAATGAGTTTGCAGGCATTACACAGTATTGACTGCGGTAATATCTTATGTCCTTATTAAAGTCTTCTAACTCACAAGTTACTACCCTAGTTCGATTCCTTGAGTATCTGGCTGAACCTATTCCAATATATTTTGACTGAAGTTACCTGATAAGCATACAGTCCAAAACTGATATGTTAGAATTCTTTTGGCTGGCTAAAAATTCTATTTGATAAATCTTTTAACTATTCCGTCATGACATTTCGTGTCCTTGTTAAGACAGTGACGTCAATCGCATGTAGACAATTGAATCGTCGCATAGTGACAACTATAAGTCATTGCTGATCAAAATTTATGGACTGGAGATTGTAATGCAGTAACTTTCATCTTTCTGAGTTAATCATATTACCAATTTGTCATAGCTTTGTCTGGTTGTAACTATATTAAGGACATAATTCTGGTGATTTTTGTCTTAATTCCGACGTTGTGCGTGATTGATCTCCAGTATACTTGTCCAGTCTCGTACAATCTACTGAATCCACCCACACGATAAGTCAGTCACATGATTTTCACCTACAGCACAACAGCGTACAATGGAATCTAAAGTCTGGTGTTTATTGGCCATTTATTTCAGGCGATATGTTTCATCTGCATATATATGACTGAATTACCTGACCACAACGCACCATAATTTATAAAAATGAAGTAGCCAATTAACTTGAAGCACAGAAAAGAATGAAAGAATGTACAATAATGCAGGATTTCACCAAAAGATGTAATCATTTTCGAACTGTAAGTCACACAAGCATAAATGATAGATCAATCGGAAGCTCTTGAACCAAGCTATATAAAAGTGTTACCAATTACGTGTTATATGGAGTCCTTTTTGAAATAAATAAAATATTTCAAGTTGTTATTCATCGTAGACTGACCCAGTGGCTCAATAGCAACGCTCTGGCGGCAGGACCTGAAGGTCGCTGGTTCAATCCCTGGCGGGGTCATGGGTGCGCACTGCTGAGGAGTCCCATACTAGTCGGACGAAACAGCTGTCCAGTGCTTCCAGGTTTCTTTTGTTCCCCCATCAACTGATGTCAGTCTACGATGAATAACAACTTGAAACATTTCCAAATCTTCACAACTCCCTCATAAGTAATTCACGATCAATAAGATTTATGAGGTTGACTTTTTCCACTTTTTTAACTGGTAATACAATAACTAGGCTACATCTCTTGAACAAAGAAAACTGCACAACTCTATTCTTTCTTAGAATATTCAAAATTTTCCTGCACCTAATAAACCTATTGAAATTATCGAAAGTGAAAGTCAGTGAATCAGTTTGGAGACTGTAATACTGTTGAAAGTGTTGTTCAACCACTCGATTCTAAATACCTTTGTCGCAGCTACTAAATTAAACACTTAGCTTTCTGAAGTTAATAATATATGACACCTTTTTAGCTGAAAAAACAGTTTTCAAGACTCAAGGAGATGGAGATGTATAGAGATGATACACAGTCATGGTGTTGAAATAGAAGCATCTTGATGAACATTTAATGTACTTACATTCAGATATAGATGTAAATCAGTTTACGAAGGAATAAGAGAATGATGAGACAGAACTCATTGTGCTGAAGTAAGGAAAATAAAGACACTAGTCTCTTCAGAAAAACTCTCATATTCCTAGACTTCATGTCATCTTACCATACGTCAGGTAAAATAAAACTCAGGTATCTGAAAGAAGAATATTATATCCAGTAAATATTCTCATCACATCCTACAATTATAAAATGTGCTTGTACAGCGTGAAACCAAGCCATGTTAGGGGGGAGAATGTATTTTCAAAATAGAGTGAAATTTAGCTACTGTAAGCAATATCTATTTGTTAATAATGAGATAACATAAATGCCGCTGAAGCATGTTGTGGTGGACGAAAAGATAATGAAAACTAAACCAGGAATAACAGTCGCTTGGACATGGTTTGATCAGTCTTTCTGTGACAACTTGAGCTATATTGAGGAGGCAATGGCAAGTTACACATGATATTGTTTTTGGTATACGATGTAGGATATTCAAAGCTTTCTTAGCATTCTCAAATATAAAACTTCTCATCACATTCACTTCAACTTTTAAAACACAAGCCGGTAAGCGTTCTTATATGCGGAGATGCACTGGCCCAATCGTACAGTTTATGTAACATGTCCCCTGGGAACAGTTAAATTGATATTTGCGAGATGAACAACTACGATTAGGTAGATTATCTCCATAGTCTCACAGTGAGCACTGACTGACTACTGAAAGATATGCAAAGACACCCTAGATGAAACGTCCTATTGACTTCGCTAGCTAATTGTTGTGATAGGACATCAAATGAAGTGTCTTCCCTGAAGTGTAAACACAGAAACATAGGCCTCTTCTCCATTGTCATCAACTCTTGTTAGGGAGCAATGTAACTGGTGTTAAAACAGCTTTTATGAAATGTTTAATAATTACAGTGAAAACAGAACATCTTTGAGAAGATATATAAACGAAACTTTGATACTCAATAACTATCCTCGTAAAGGGAGGAAAAGATGAGTAACCCAGCCATAGTTAATATGTATACTAATGATGGGAACACCAAGAAACGAGAATTTGAAACCTTCGCGGTGTTATCGAATCCGAAAGAGTTCCTTAGACAGTTGACACAAGGACCTGAGAACTCAAGAGTAAATAAGCCTTGTATTATTTCAGTTTATCAAATTCCATCCAGTGACTGTAAGTAAGATTAAGTATATAGGTCAGAGGAGTCAAAATAAGGTCAATTAGAAGAATAAAATAAAGAAACTTCTTCAGATCCAGAATGTTACAGCCTAGTAAGTTAAACTGATCCTTCACTGGCTTGAGCGTACTTCCCAAAACAAATCTGTATTTGAATTTCAGGGTTTGTAGGGATTCAGAGATATATTAAATTGGTTTTCATCATGGACTAACATCAGTTGGAGGAACACTGGAAGTCTGGGGGCACTGGACAGCTGCTTCTTTAAACTAGTGTGGGACTCCTCAGCAGTGCGCACTCATGACCCCACCCTCCGGGGATCGAACCCAGCACCTTCAGGCTCCAAGCCTAGCACGCCACCACTAAGCTACTATGTCGAAATCCTACTTCTGTCACTTCATGATATAGGGCGACATACATCTAGCGTTCACTGATAACTTCCTTCAGGAGTTGATTCCTGAAGTTCAAATGAGAAGTCGTGACCAGCACGGTGAATATGGTGGTCTTGAGAACATATACTCACCAGTGACATTGGTTGATGGTTGCGCTATATCGTGAACTGACAGATGTAGGGGATGTTGACCATTGGATTCTGACCCAGTGACTCAATGGTTATATGCTGGCCACGGAACCTGAAGGTCACGAGTTCGAATCCCTGGTGGTGGTAGTGGGTCGTCGGTGAGCACTTCTGAAGAGTCCTATATTAGTCAGACGAGACAGATGTCCAGTGATCCCAGGTTTCCATTGTTCCTCCAACTGATATCAGTCCATGATGGAAACCAAATTAAAAAACCTTTATTTCTTTTTTAATGGTCATAAATTAAACTATATGATTTTTTTTCTAAAATATTTACTTTACAGTATATATTTCTTTACTCAGTGTCAAGTGATGAAACAATAATAAATGCACGGATAACTTCAAGCTGATTGGTTGGTAATACTGAACTATATTCTGATTGGTTGAGATCATTCAGCCAATCATAGAACAGAGATTACAAATCATAGTTTAGTTGAAATTTCCTCCTGTTTTCTTTATTTATCTGTCTTATATACTGTGAGTTTTATACTGTTACATAATGTATCAAAAAAATCTTTGGAAAATGTAAACAAACAATCATATTGGATAATTAATAATGAAGGAATTATATTCAACAGGATGATCTTACACAATTCCTACATATCCATGAGCAGTAATATTAGTATTATTAGTAACAATAATAATAATAATAATAATAATAATAATAATAATAATAATAATAATAACCACAATCATACAATTAATAACCAATTATTAATCAATAATCAAACAATAACAAGTCATTTATTAAATTTAGAAAGACGCTACTGGTGCTTATGTCTAATGATATTTTCAATAGCTACATTATTCGGTAATTCACTTGTTGTACTCAGTGTGATTCGAGAACGTTCCCTGAGAAATGCTACCAATTGGTTTATAGTCAGTTTAGCGATAGCTGATATCAGTTTAGCTATATTGGTTATGCCATTAGCTACATGGTTGGAAGTAAGTAAATTCTTAATGATTCAATATTGATTAAATGTATTGACTTTTCAGTATTGATGTTTTATTTAAACTATAATTATATTATTATTTTTACCTTGGATTCCTAGTGGAACATACAGCTTCAGTAGCACACCACCATTCCACTCTCTTCTCTCCAGTCTTTTGAACCTCGCTCCGCGACTGCCCACAACCTTTCATTTCTTCTTCACAAACCATCTCTTTTAAGTCACCCTATACTTGAACCTCCAACTCGTCATTTCCCCCTTTGGATTCCACTCGACGGCCTGGCGCGTGATGTCTGCAGCCGGCCTTCTCAGTATATGCCAAATACAGTCCATCTCCACTTCATTCAAGTGCATATTTGTTCAGCGATACGTTCTTGCTTCGTTGGTTCATTGGCAGCCAGAGTTCCTTGTTGCTTACACTTGTTATTCTGTCCATCTGATCTTCAGTAAGGAGTGAGCGTGCGCGGCAGCTTTTGATGTATGTCTGAAGTTTGTTGGGAATGCTTTTCGTAAGGCGCTAAGTCTCTCAAGCATCATACAGAAGCACTGACTTCACTTCGTGTTGGAAATCCGGGTGTTGTTTTACACATGCTGAGTGCAGTAGATCTCCACACTGATTTCAGATTGATGAAAGAAGGCCTGTCTCGCTGTCTTTCCGATGCTGGCTGGCTCTATTATCCTCATCTGTGCCAGCGCCTGCAGTTGAAACGATGCTTCCAGTCCTATGCCAAACCTTCCCTGTTTATCCAAGCTAGGGACCGGCTAGTAACTAGTGAAATAGTTAAACAAGCGAGATTATATCTGTCTAGTACACAATGTTTATTTACAAAATGTCTATTACGGTATCTTTGACTGGATGGGGAACAGTAATGATGACTTTTACTTGGTAGTGATTACGTAACACATAGACACACACTTTTTGTTTGCTATTTCAATTGTTTTCAGTAGTTTTTTGTATTGGCATTGAATAAATGAGATGATATAACAGTTTATCAAACTGTTAAACAGACATCGTGTTGAATATGGCAATACTTCCTTATGCCTTTATTGTGTGAGATATCTCAGGAATGTTTTACAGGATTTTCAGCATGTCATATAGACGAGAATAGTGTATATTTCAGCTATATACATATATGAGGTAAATTCGGTATAATACAGTTTCTTATCTTTAATAGTATCCTCATGAAGTCTTACTGTTCATCTTGCCTGAGAATCCACACATGGAGAGATTTAAGTGAAGACCATGCTGATCATCTGATAGAATAATTCCCACCGAATGTTTACATGAGTTGAGGTATTTGTCCATAACTGTTTCAACTAGAAGATTTACAGATACACCACTAGGTCTATTCAATACAGCATAGTCTTATTCCAACAAGTCAAGAAAGAATAAAGGGGAACACAGACAGACGATGTAGGAGTCTATATTAGATACTCTCACCTTCTGAATATAAAAAGTTAGGTGAAAGATTCTTATGGAAATTAGTAAGATATGAGAGGACGAGGAAAGATTTAAAGAAAAATACACACACACACACAGAGGTGAATCACACGTGTAACCTTCATCTAATCCACAACCATCAGTTGAACAATAATCATAAAAATTAAACAGTTTGTACAAATTACATTCATGTCTGAAACTAAAGTTTTCAAATATACCCTGCTTAGTTCATTGTCTAAATTCTCTACAATTAAGTAGCTTTCTACTAATCTCCTTTTTTATTTGTCATGGTTACCTTTTTTGTGTGGATAATTAACCACTTCAACTTCATTAATATCTTCTTGATTCGATAATTGTCTCTGGATTTCATTGGATAATATATGGATACACAGTCCGAGAATCGATTTCATGCCTCAGACTATTGATTTTCAACCATCCACCTAATCGATCACACACTTAAGTACCACTTAGGTCTCCTAATCTAACGGATAGTTGACGGTCACATATACACACACGCACATATATATATATATACTCACACACACAAACACACAAGTTATCGCTTCATAATGTGTAGAGAATCGAAAATGACCAACCTTTGTCTTGCCAAAACTCACCTATTATCCCACTTTATAACATTCCGTTTAGTCAAATGCATACAGAGTGTAAACTGCTGATAGTAGACAGTTTTCTATAGGCTGAAATCAAGATGTCAGTAGCCCGATCACTCATATATTTATTTGAAATAAAGATTATTAAATAATGTTTAAGGTGAGGATAAAATTAGTATGACTAAGGCTTCAGTAAACTGAAGTATACGGTCCTGAAGGCTTCTGTTCTACCGTCGATTCTACTACCTGTTTGTGTAATGTGTTTACGTTTTGACGATGACGTCTCTCTGGCCTCCATACTTATCGTATCCGCATCTATGTGTCACTGCAGGCACAGGTTCCATTTTCTCTGTAACATTGAGCTTGGCTGCATAGTAAGTCAAGTCTTTTGAATAGCTGAACTAAGCCTTCGTCTTCAGATCATAACGCTGTTGAGTCCCCCCCCTTTATATGGCAGCATGATGTAAACGTCTTCCTCCGTGACAGAACGTGTTGATAATGATTGATAAACCTCAGTGGATATCCGTTTTTCATCAGTACCAAAGTTACGAATTTGAACAGAAACAATGAAAGTTTTGATACTGTCCGGTACACGTAGGTGATTATGATTTTCGATGTGTGAAATATCCCCATCAGGATATGAAAAAGGAACAAGTGAGTACCTCAGAGAAGAGTCTCTTTTCTCAGCGCATTCATTTTCAAAGCTTTACAATAACAAATTTATACACTTTTTTCTACTGTATGTATTTGATAGTTAGAAATGGTTTGTTAAGTATACCAGGCAACACAAATAGTGTCAATCATGTGAGTTGAATAATGAATATTCCTCAAAATAAGTTTGGGCAAGAAGAAATTCCGTAACATGAGGAAATACTTGAGGACTGAATTGTGATCAAGTGGAGCATATCAACAGAAAGGAGTAGCAAATTACTTAAGAAGTGAATACCCATGATATCCATGACTTAAGTGGACTGGATCATGTAACAAACAGTGAGGAGGAACAAGAAGAGGGGATACGCTGGACCGCGGAAAAGATCCTAGAAGGTTTGGATTTCGCCAGCGATGACTTATGTCTAATGTTACACAAACTTGAAGATCTACTGGCAAAATCCAACAATTGACAGAAGAGGCGAGGCAGCGAAGACGGGACTTCAAGTGAACGTACAGAAGACAGAGGTGAAGAAGATACACAGCCAATACCACCACCACCAACAACAACAAGCTCCAATCACCATCAACGGGAGAAACTTGAAGGCAGTATCCTCTTCCACTTATCTAGGCAGCATTGTTTCAACTACAGGCGGCAAAGGCACAGACGATGACGTCAGAGCCAGTCAGGATCGGAAAGACAGCAAGACAGACCTTCATTAGGCTGAAATCAGTGTGGAGATGTTTTGCACTCAGCATATGAAACAAGATCCGGATTTCCAACACTGTTAGTGTCAGTCAAGTCACTGCTTGTATGTGATGGTTGAGAGATTTGGTGCGTTATGAAAGGCATTTCGAACAAACTACACACACTCATCAACAACTGCAGCCTAGGCTCACTCCTTACTGAAGATCAGATCAGATGGGGAGAATAATAAGTGTAAGCAACAAGGAACTCTGGCTGCCAACAAACCAACGAAGCAAGAACGTATCGCTGAACAAATATACACTGGAATGAAGTGAAGATGGACTGTATTGGGCATATACTGAGAAGGCCAATTGGGGACATCATGTGCAAGGCCAGTTGCTCGAGTGGAACCCAGATGGGAAACGACGAGTTGGGCATCCGAGGTGAGGGTGACATGGAGGAGACCGTGCGAGGAAGAAGTGAGAGCTTGTGGGCAGTGGTGGAGCCAGGTTGAAAAGATTTCGTAGAAGAGAGTGTAATGGAGACGTGGTAGTGAAACCCTATGTTGCACTAGGAACCCAAGGGACAAATAAATAATAATAATAATTAAAAAGTGAATAATGTCAAAAAAGGGGTGGAGAGAGGTGACTTTAAAGACTGAAAGGAAAAGGTTTTAAACAGTCTTTTTCAGGTTTCTCCATATGAATGAGAAGAACTTCAGCAATGCAGAGAATATGAAGATACATAGCCTTTGGAAGATTTCTTTTCACGGTATAAATGACTTTGAACGAAGAGGTTCTTGATATAAGGTGGTTCATATCCACAGTGTGTTCAATTATGCCACTCCTTATCACTCTATTGTTACCTCTTTGTAACCACATGGGATAGTATTCTTCAACCCTTTTGGATAACAGTTGCTTCGAAAGACTTATATAGCTGGCTTCATAAGAGCAGGTAAATAAGGTATATGCATACACCTGAAAAGTGTATAAATTTGCGATTGTACAGCTTTGAAAAAAGACTCTTCGTTGAAATACCTACTTATTCTTCTCTCATATTGTTTTCTAACCTCCCATAATGAACTAATATGTTTTTATGTGGTATCAAGTGTCTTTACAATGGCTTTCTGGATCCGTATGTTTTGCTGCATATAAGTAATGATATCATCAAGGCATCTGCAGTACAGCAGTAATCTGTAGCTTAAATCTCTGGACAAAAGTTCTTATTTGTGACAAATAGATGTCAGTCAATTTTAGTTTACAGAACATATGAGTGGATAGAACAGTAGCCTTACCTTTCACAGTTTCTGTCCAATGCAATACTCATGAAAAATGCATCTAAGTATCAGCTTTCAATCGTGAAGATGAGTGTTTCTACCACGCTACCATATAAAATGGAATCAATCAGTATCATGGTCATAAGGCGAAGACTTATTTTAGCGGCCAAAACCAATCAGTCACTAAGTGTTTTGCTAAACGACTGCCATATGAATTCGTTACGCCTTACTATCACCGATGATCTTCCTGATTATGACTGACTTAACTGGCTCATGCAACAAACTGTGAGGAGCGAGAAGATGGGCATACGCTCGCTGTTTGATCAATGAA